ACAGGGAGAGGTTCAATACGCTATAAACGAAACGTGCTTTATAATCAGCTTTCAAATATGGAAACGTCAGTTGCTTAAATCGAGCACCTGTGTAAAAATTAACTAAAATTACATTAGAAAATGATATAGATTAAAAAAGTATAGTATTTAGTCTTTGTAACGATGCTACTGAGATGTTAAAGGATTGACTGTCATTCTTATAACGCACCAACAGCTTAAAAGAGAGATATTCTTTTGGTTTCGGACAGGTTCTAACCCGGCTCGCCAACTATCGAAATCTAGAGCTCTACCACAGGGGCAACGTGCACTCTAGATCAAAGAGAAACAATAATTAAATGTCTTCAAGATATTTTATATTATTATGTATAAGGATGAAATGTTATTTCGGAAGTTGCTTGGTGTAACTTGATCATTATAACTTTTAATTCAATAGAAAAATTATATAATTTCGTATTCATTCTTTTATTTCAAGTTACATCTTTTAGAGTAAGGAAGATTTATTTTTAGGACAGGTACGACGTTTCGATCACTGGTGTGATCAGTTTCAAGTAAATCTTCCTTACTGTATTGTTTGTTTGTTTTGATTTTCGCGAAAAGCTACACGAAGGCTATCTGCGCTAGCCGTCCCTAATTTAGCAGTGTAAGACTAGAGGGAAGGCAGCTTGTCATCACCACCCACCGCCAACTCTTGGGCTACTATTTTACCAACGAATAGTGAGATTGACCGTCACGTTACAACGCCCCCACGGCTGAAAGAGCAAGTGGGACGAAAATTCGAACCCGCGACCTGCAGATACGAGTCGAGCGCTCTAACCACCTGGCCATGCCAAGCCATCTTTACTGTAAAAACTGTAACTTGTAATAAAATAATACTTAATCAGTAAGTAAACTGAAAACGAAATTATTTTATATTCATTGTTTGCGTATTCTTGTATTTATTTCGAACAAATTAAGAGCTTATAAATGAACTCGACAACTTTCAAAAACTTATAAATTTAATCATATTGGGTAATTCACACTAATGCATGGCATTAGTGAAACTCAACAAATGGACGAACGAACGAACTTTCAAATTAATATAATTAAATTAGTAACAATTTGTGCATTCAACTTGAAAACAATGCTTATAATTGGCTGATTAATATTTAGTTCTCTTTTTCTCCGCAGTTTTTTTTCCCCGTTTAATTGTATATTTCTAAGCTTATGCCACTCGTATGCCTAACTTGCAATGATGAAGTTTAATATAGTAAAATGACCTTTCGCTGGCACGAAGATTTCAGACATGAAGAAAGTAATGAAACGGACGCCATCTATCGCATAAAGTTAGAAATATTCAGACTATCATCGAATATTTATAATAATTTCTTGTTGCTTTTAACTTTCCTAATGCTAATGGAAGTGGAGAATTAATATCAGTTTGACAATATTTTAATTTTTCTCTGTTGATTTCACCATTGAGCATTGAGATAAAAGAAAAGGTTGATATTTCATGGCAAAAATTATTATTGCTTTTTTCTAAGTCACATTTCCAACACAACAACCTACATTTTAAATAGTATATATAACGTTCAGTCAAATATTATTTATAGCAAAATTGACTACATTAGTGAAACCATGCATGATGTCCTGTTATTTAGTAATTATTGTATTTCGTTATGAAACCACACCACCAGATGCGTTTGATAGGTAGCACCTAAATAATTAACAATAATTTATTTAAAATTTTTATTTTTGAAAGAGATGAAATCATTGTAAAAACAGTTGGCTAACTTGAGTTTTCATCAGATATTCTTCAATCACTAAAAAGATTACTTTATAAGGTCTTCAAAGCAAACATTTTATTTTCAATAGAAATTTCTGAACTGAAACATTCATTTGTAGGAAGAACATATTTATTGTGCATTTATTCAGAGACAGTGAATTTTTTATAGATTTACAGGTTTCATAGTTCCATCAATGAACTAGTTATGAAACTGAATTTAACATAATTCTTATATAGCTTAAAAACAGTATATATATTTTGACACGTGATGGAACTGTAACTGAATTTCCTGGATCCAGAAATCCAGTGAAATTTAAGCATGAAATTGCTAGCTACCTTCTCAAGGGCCTTATAAACAGTTTGTTAAGTTTCTTTAGTTTGGTAAACTACAACAACAAAAACCATCTCGTTTTGCATGATGTTGTTATTGAATTCGCTCTCATTACAGGCTTTTTTTTGTTGTGCTTGTTTCTTTTTGTGCACCTTGGAGGCTTAGCAATAAGCTTGAGGTTTTGTAACACTAAACGCTAAAATCCAGATTCAATTCCTGTAATGAACATAGCATAAATAACCCATTGTGTAGCTTTCTGTCTACAAAAGGAAACCTTTCTCATTTTTATTGTGTAAATAAAAAGGAACTACATGGATGCATTGTTTTATAACTCAGTGAGTTTTTCTGAAATAGAATTTCACACAGCTTTTTTATTATTATTGAGAATCAGTGTTTATTTGGTTCATTGAAAAAATATATATAGCAGGAATCTTGGCCATTATTTAATGAAAAGTAATTCTATCCTAATAAAAATCACAGAAATAAAAACCTTTTTAGTGTTTAATTATTACTGAATATATTGCAAAACAACAACAACAATAAAAACGGTTTCATAGAAAAAACAATACCACAAGGTTCTGCTGTCTTCAGCTTAATATCAAATGCCATGTTCAGTGAACAAGGGTTCCAAAAAGTCTACTAAAAGTTTTTTTTTTGCACTTTGGAGAAAAGGTCAATTGGGAAATAAGACACCTATAAGATTTTCTTACAGTAAGACTAAGTATTTGTTTGTTGAAAGACATAATAGACTGACTGAAAAACACACAAGTTTACAGAAAAAACACTTACTCAAATTTTATGCTGATAATGAATTAAAGGTAGAATAATGATCTTGATAAAAATCCTAAAAAAAGTTCAAACATATCCATCAACAAGGGTAGTCAGAGGAAAGTAGTCGAAAAGATTTGTGAAATATTTCCAAACCTATACTTTCTTAAACATTCATCATACAATTCATAAACTTCAGTGATCTGTTTATTCTCGTGATTTCCTCTCAAAATTGTTACTCTCTTGTTTTAGTCAGCACTTAATGTAAATTCATTTGTTAATTGGAATCTGATTAGACATTATTTGAGAAACTTAAATCCCATGTAAAAACGTTAAAAAAAAGAAAGATATAAAACATTATAATTTATAATTTAGTTCATGTCATAAAGATTTAAAATCATTCAAGGAAGTTTTTTTTTGTTTTAGAATTTCACATAAAGCTTCACAGAGGTTATCTGCACATAGCCTTCCAACTTTCAACTGACAGATTAGAGGGAAAGCAGCAAGTTAACAGCACTCACTGCCAACCAACCCTTGGGCTTCTCTCGTGTGATTGTTAACTTTAGGCTATGCCCAGTCCAAAGATGTTCTTTTATTCCCATTTAATTAATCTGTCAATATAGTTTTAGAAAGCAAATGTTTAATTTTTTTTAATAGATGATTTTTTTTATTTGAATAATTACTAGTTCTTCCAAGCAAACAGATAACTTCTTCTTCTTCTTAGTTCTTGTCGTTCCTAGTGGAACATAGGGCTACAACAACTCTTTGCCGACGGAAGTGTTGTTGCAGTTTCTATAGCAGATTGTTATCGGGGTGGAGCTGCTAGCCCCACGCCCAAGTGGGCATGTTTGGTGCGACAAGGACGCGAACTCGCGACCCTCGGATTGCGAGTCGAGTGTCTTATCCACCGGGCCAACAGATAACTAACTAAACTTTATGGTTTCTTTCAAGTGCAAATGATTATTAGTTTTTTATACATTTGGCTGACAATTGCAAGATTTCTTTATATGAATGATAATAAGTTTATTTCACATATTTGATGATTAGTTTTGACTTTTAAATAATTACTAGTTTCTTTCATACTTACCTCATTATTAGATGCCCCCCCCCCCCCCATTGGCACAGCGGTGTGTCTGCTAAATTACAATGCTAGAATCCGGATTTCGATACCCGTGGCGGGCAGAGCACAGATAGCCCATTGTGTAGCTTTGTTTATGTTTATTTAAAAGATTATTAAATTTGTGACTCTTTCACTGATTAATTATCTCACCTTTATCGGAGATGGATATTGTTGTTTATTTATTGCATATTTCAAAGCTGTTGTAGTACAGGTTCACTATCACTAATCCGGCATCATCGGGACCTGGAGGGTGCCGGATTAGCCATCTATTAGGTTAGAATACACCAACCCCACTAGCTAACCATCTCATCTTAAAATTAAAATATCCCATAAAACGGGGTTTTCTTTAAGTTTTAATCAAAGAAAATATTGGAAAGAAAACTTTCAAGTGAGACTAAAGTATTCACCTAATAGCGTGTATCTTGCTTTACTGTATTTGAAATTGTTCTAGCCGAAATTAGTGCCGGATTACTGATTGCCGGACTAGTGATGGTCAACCTGTATACTGTTTCAGTTCATCCTAGCTACCTAGACTATGCTAAGTTTGGATTAAAATGGTCTGATTAACTTATTATAATATTTTTTTTTGTCTATTTATAAAATTATTACATTTTTGAACCATATATTTATTATTTATTTCTTCTTTCTTTGATTTGACGTGTGTATTTTCTATTCTTCTTTTCAATGATATAATACATAAATAAAGAATATTTCATATTATAAAACGATAAGCTGTTGTAGTATACCTGTTTCTGGTCGTTCTAGTTACACAGACTATGCTGAATTTGGACTAATATGTGATGAATATCATTTAGATATATGTAGAGAATAAAACTGTGCTATCCTTCAATCAATGTTATATTTCAAAGTAACATGCTATGAATGTGAATTTCTATGGCAAAAAAAAAAAGATATATGTGTAAAAAATAGCAAATGAGTAAATATTTTCTTAACTAGAGAAATCTGACTAAAAAAATTATCCAGAAATACTGTTTGGTAAAAAACTGTTTATTAGAACATGTAAGAATTTCAAAAACTACAGTTATTCTTTTTCATTTTACAGTGTGTGATAAAGGGAACTGTCCTATTATACTTTGATATATTTGATTCAAATAAAAGTAGAACAGTTTCTTTCTTTTATAATAGAATCTTTTTAAAAGGCTACAAACACAAAGACTTCAACAGTCAAGCATTAACAATTAGTTATCAAGCATAACAGTTTTATATAAAGATCTTGTGCTATAAATATGATATTACAGTTATTTGGATGTTTGGAAGTTTTATTAACTCTTTAAGATTGCTTAAAAGTATCTTATATTGTACTCATATTAACTTGATAACTTTTAGAGATATAGAAACTCAAGGTTATGAAATTGCCTTCAAGGATAACAACAGCAACACAGTAAGAACATCATACTAACCACAATAACATTCAAAAACTGAAAAAAAATAAGCTTTCTCTAGCAGGGAATTAGAAATATAAGTCCTGAAAAATCCACAAGAAAATCGACAAGCAACATGTGTAGAATCACAGGTAATGGGTGTTATTACAAGAAGTTCAAACACATATAGCAATTAAATTCATAAGTGGTTGCTTCAAAAAACTAATTTCAGAATCTAGAATCAATCCTATATTTATAATACATTCACGACATTAAAAAATGATATAGATCTCCGTACAAAAAATAGCCTTTTCTTGTGGGTTATGAATATAGGAGAACTCAATTACTATTCTGGAATTTTTTTAAATGTTATTTGAAGAATTTTCACAATATTAGACATGGCCTACCTTGAAAATTTCATATGATGATATTTAAACTCGCATTTGCAACTCTTGTCCATCCACTTTTCAACAAACTTTTGTGAAGCAACTATCAATTCTGATAAATCAGCAAAATCATATGTAATATAAATGCCTAGATCTTTTAAGTGGATTGAGGTTTGGAGCCTGTACAAATTCAAACTGTAGCAGTTAAGATGTTCTTATTTTTCTCACATAAAAAAGATTCCAAACCAGGACTCATTTTGAAACTTTATATATATATTACATTATCAGATTTAGTATATTTCTTCTTTATTTGAGGTTGGTATTTTTTATTCTTCTTTTCACCAAAGCAGAAATAAAATTTGTTTTTTCCGGTTTAATACTGTATTTCGTACAGCTTGGTATGGGCATACGAACAGTCACATACCACTAGAATGCATTATATCTTCTGTTATCTACCCTTACAGTGTTATTTAAGCTTTCAAGTTTGCTTTTGTAGCAACACTTTCATGGGTTATTTTTTCATTATTGTCAATCAAATAATATTTAAACATTAGTTCAGCAAGATGGTAAATAAAACACTTAGGTATAAAAGAAGTACATAAAGAGGATAGTCTGGATTTAGAAATTTTTAACAGACAAGTTCAATGGTTTTGTTACCCCATGTTTAAACAACAGAACGGTAAAGTCACATTATATTGTTAAAAATCCTGAAAACTAAAATAGATCCACTGGCTCTATAGGTAATTTCCTACAATGTTTGTGACTACAACTCTCTTATCCTTGCATGTTTTTTATTTTAGGCACTTAATTTATTAAGTATTTTGAATTGAACCTCTCTTATAAACATTGCAGTCCTTTTGCCTAAATGTTCTTTGTATGTTAATTTAACTCTTTTTTTTTTAATATAATTGATTATGTATTTTACAACATTTCTTTTCAGGCAGATGTTCTTGTCAGAAAAGATGCTAACATGAAAAATTTCAAAGTTCCTGTTCAGTTTAAGACTGAATTGTATGAAAAAAAGGCCTTTTTACTTATGTTATGCAGTAATTAAAAAAGGCCACTAGCAAATAAGTCAAATATGAAGTCCAATAATCACTTTTATTTGGTGATTTAAATACTGTTAGCCTCTGAACACAGATACTTGAGAGACACAGTCAGTGGCCTGTGTTCCAAGATTCCACAGCTGTTATAACAATTTATGAACAAAACTGATTTTGAAAGGTACCAAACATGTAGGAATGTTACATCTGACACATGTTTCAAGGTCAGCATCAGTTCTTGGGGCACTGTTGGAGACAATCACTAGAAGCCTTTTTTGGATAAAAGATTTAAGAACTTTCTGTTGACTGCAAGTGTTAAACGTTAGTATTCTTTGATAACCAGATTTTTTTACAGGTGCTGTTAAAGTGTGTCAAGGTGAGTTAAGCAGATTTTCTGTTTTTGGCATCCCGATCTGATAAAGACATAGTGGAGAGTATTTTTAAATACCATGTACAAAATTCTTGAGGTAGGTGATACCTGTAATGATATCTACTACTAAGGTTGAGGGCTCACAAAATAATTATTAAGATTTTCTGATCAAAATTAAACTAAGTGCATAGATCAGAATGGAAATAAGTTTGAAATAATCTATAAATTAATTAAGGACTTCTATGACAAACTGACAAGAATTATTAAATATCATAAATTAATGCATCAAAGACCTAAAACCTATAATGACTAGAATGCATTAAATCTTCATTTATCTACCCTCACTCTTAACTATATTTTTTGGTGTTAACACATAAACAAAGATATTCAACTTATGTTTAGTTAGTGTAATCCAAACTCACTGAAATATAAAAAAAAAAATTTTTTTCTAATACCTAGAAGAAAGATCTACATTATGAGGCATAATAGAAAGGAATATTTTTGGTTAATTTGTCTCAGGCTGATAACTAGGAAAGGCACTAGTAAATATGTCCTTAATTTACAAATTAGATTTTTTATAATTTCGTTAGAATTCGTTTTACTTGGGCTTAACTAATGGCAACACATACCTAGGTTTTTATTTTTTACATTCAAAATGAAGATGAGAAAAACACTGACTTAATTTTTTTATCCTTAGAAAGTTGATTATTTGTGAATCGAAGACATTCTGAACCATTTCTTTTTCTTGTTTAATACTTTATTTCATACAGCTGGACATGTGTGTACGGACGGTCACATACCACTGTCCAACAATGAACGACAAGACTTTTTATTGGCACATCTCAGTAATTTAATGTAGTGCATAGATTTTAAGTCACAAACTGTTTAAATGTTATCATTTGATTAAACTGAAAACCCTGCAAAACATTCCACTTCTTTCATTGTGGCCTTTTGTTCATTTTGTATTGTGGTTTGCACACGAAACTAGATCTTTATGGCATTTGTCTTTACTAAAATATGTGTCAGGTGTCGTTGGAATCTGAAAGTTTGATCATTTGATGATCATAAAATTAAACACATCATACATATCTTTTCTGGTGTACAACTTCTTGGCATATAATCCTCCTCCACTTTTCTACGTATCTTTTCTGCAATGAAATTATCTGTAAGTTTTATCACCATGATCTACATATTTTAGGTTTAAAAGGTTTCTATCATTTTTAAAGAAACTATTTCTCCCATTTTCTTTCAAACAATTAGTGCATTTTTAATTAGCAAGAAAAAACCTGTGGTAGTTTAGAAACTGATATCCGATGTTAACTTTTGAAATAATCAATCACGAGATTCTGATTTTGTGCTGAATTTTGTAAATATTACATACTACGAATAAAAAACACACACACATCTAAAACACTTATACATTATTAGATAACCACTTTTTACTAAAAACTTATAATTTTCTTTATGAACAGTACTTTCAATCAACATTTACTCCAATATATTCCCCCTTTAATCCCAAACAGGGTTGGATTTGACATTTCTTAATTATTAATGTTGAAAATAAAAAAAAAATTAGAAACAGGATTACTCATTCTGCAATTTACACAAAAGCAAAATATATACTTCAGTTACAAACCTGCTACGTCTCGTTTTCCTATTGCTACAAGTGCTTCAAATAGTTCCTTGAGGGGATTTTTTGTGGGTGGAAGTCCATGTAGCCAAATTATCATCATCCTGTAACCATGATCTTTGTAACTTGTCTTCCCTGAAAAAACAAAATAAATTACCTGATAATAATAACAACACAGAAATGAATTTTCATAGAGAATTGTAATTAAAAATGTTATTTGAATTATTTGCCTGGAAACAATGTATCTAAAAACTATATATGTTTTCTTTCGATATTTCAGCTAGCTTATATAATTCAATAAATATTTTTGCAACATTAACAGTACTTTTGCATGATTGCTAAATGTAAACACTACTTATTATCTTATTAAACCCATATTCACTGAAACATTGGGTAGATGGAATAAATGATTCAACATCTGTAAAGAGAGTCATGTGGCTGAAAGAAAATGCAACAAGAAACTTATTTAACAATGAGATCCAAAATACATAACTTGAGTATACAAACACATAACTCATTTCCACTTTCTTAAGAAGATGTACAATGTATATATACAGGGCGATTATAAAGAAAGTTTTACAGTTTAGAACATCATATTTTGCAAATGGTATGGCATGGGAAGGAAATATTACACAGGGAAGTTAACGGTATCATGCAAATGCTACAGTTATACATGCTGTCATATGGGGTGCCACTATGACCTTATGTCTGATCAATCACAGCAACTGTTCAAAACATAACTCTCCAGCATCTAGAATGCATTGCATCTGTGTGACAAGAGATTTTGCAACAACAACAACAACATGCTTCTCATCTAGTATAGTTCCAACTTCCTGGACAACTGCATCCTTGAGGTCTGGCTTGTTCTGATATGGCATGGCTGACATCAGTGGTAGTTTTAGTAGGTGTTGTTGGTTGGCTTACATGCAGCTTATCACAAGTGCAGCCTGTCTCCTCAATTGTTTTTATGAACTTGTGCACAGTAAGAATGTTATGCACCCTATGGTATTCCCTAAGACTTGCCTCAGCATTGTATCCTTTGGAGTAATACCATCATTTCTCTGCAACGTTGTTAGTTTCGTGTTGATTGATTGAGCCCTTTTATACCAGTATGAAACATGCGAAAGAAACCACAGTGACACCCCTGGTGATAACTGTTGTACTTGAATCTGTATGATACCCTTAAAACCCCTGTGCAATTTCATCATCATGTGCCATATCGTTTGTGAGATATGATGTGTTTAACTGCAAAACTTTCTTTATTATCACCCTATTTATACAATATTTGTTTTATTGCCGCATTGTTTGGAGACTATATTAAGTTAGTAATATTTATTCGACTATTTTATTGTTATTGTGTTTATTTTGTAAATAATTCCATTTTGCGTCTATTAGACGTTTTCTAGCCATCAATGGTATTGAGATATGGAATACATTAGTGGGTTTATATGCAACTTACTTCTTTTCTTTTAGTTAGTTAAGATAAAAATGCATTTGTATTTTACAGGTCTTTGACAGACAGTTTGTCCACCTTTCTGTGTGGATCATATGTCCTTCCTGTGTGATGATCCTTGTTTGTAAGACTCATTATTAGGCTTTAATTAATAATACAATGAAGGTATAAACATGCTGTTATATTAAATAACAGAACAAACACGGTTGTTTGAAGTATTTTATCATTGTTTCTGGAACACGATTATTTTACTATTTTTAGGCACTAGATTATAGTATTAGTAGATAAGACATTATATTTATAGGACATAAATTCTTGTAATTAACATTATATTTCAGAACTGTTGTGTAAATAAATGTCATTGTACGTATGGTTTTAGAATGGCATCCTGATATTTTAATAGGTATCAAATCCTAAATAAAATAACTTATTTGTATACACTTTATAAAACTTACCCGTGTATTGGTGCTCAATGGCTCGCATATGTTCTTCGGTAAATTTCCAGTATCTCGCCAGATGGCGCCAGTCACTTGGTTCAAGGTGACTTTTGGCTAATGTCCAGAGTACTTGTTTCATATGTTTGTGTTGAGCATCGCTCTGTTCCGCACAGAAAGAATTTTTCTCAGCTTGATCAGGAGAGTGGTTAGCCTATTAAATATAAAATTACGCTATTACAAGATTTTAATGTTTAAAAACATTTTAATCATAAGTTCACAAAATAACTTGAAGATGTTGAAGTAGGTTAGTTGAAATATGCTTAGCAATAATAATAATATTTACTTGTGCCTTTTACAGCTTCCTGTATGAAAATAGTGGAAACATTGGATTTATTTTACTTATATCTGCCCCTTGTTTAGAATATGTAAGTAGATAATTATCTTATTCAGTTATCAAATTTTTTCCAATAGCTATAATCTTTTGCTGCTGTACACAGATGGCAGCACCATATAAATGAATATAGCACACATAAAAGAAGAGATAAATAAAAGGAAAATATATATAGTCATAGATTAATTAGTTTCAGGATTTAAGATATGAAATTATTCCTTTAACAAGGCTTATCGATAAATGTTTGTGATCATTGTGCTTCGGAACTATTTCCTCATTAGAAACCTTCTTGATAAAATCAATGTAAAAATCTACTTTTAACCCAAGTCATGCAATGAGTAAAGTAAGATCATATTGAACTTTTAAATCTTATATCATCATTTGGAATTAACACGACCAATTACAATTACTGAAATTACAATTATTTTAAGGGTTTTGGGGTATGTTTTACAAATTAGAGGTTTACTTAAATTTCTGCCTTCCTTAGACAGGATATTGGTGAAGAACATGTTAAATGCTATTTACATTGCACCATATTTTTAGCAGTAACTACATACATATACATATGTGTTAAATTATTTCGGACTGATACAAGTATGCCCATTTAGTGCATACCTATATTAAAGTATACGATACATAAGTTTTAAATACGTGATCCCCCCCCCCCCTTTGTAGCTCTAGTCTCTTCAACGTTTACTCCTATTTATTGTTTAGTATGTTTGTTTGAAGTTAAGCACAAAGCTACGCAATGGGCTATCTGTGCTCAGCCCACCACGGGTATCGAAACCCGGTTTCTAGCGTTGTAAGTCCGCAGATATACTGCTGTGTATTGTTTAGTAACAAATATTTAAGTCTTTAACAATAAATGTAGAATCACCTATGGTGCAAGACAAAACCAAAACTAGTTTTCCTCACTGAAACTTACAAAAAGCTGTATACTCTGATAAAGCCTATAATTTCTATCAATTAAATGCAACTTGCATGCAACATAACTTACACTGTTAATATAGTAATACTTTGTATACCGTTTTCATGTACAATGACATATCAAGTATGCATCCCACTGGAAATTCGAAAGTACTGTTTATCAATATGGTCCTCAAAACAACAATTTGAATATCATCATCATTTACGGGCAGCTCTATTTAATACTTTCACACAGGTTGTCACAAAACACATCAAATGTAAAACGTGAAAATCATTATCTGCGTAACCACTTTCACTATTACGTATACATCAGTAGCAATACAATACTTTCAGAATATATTTGAAATCACAGCCGACGTAATACACCTCGTTTTATTATACACCAGTTCTGCTCAAACAAGTCTGATTTGTCTTGCATATGCTTCCACTTTATGGTACAAAATGTTATCCCTATATTTATGCGGTCTTTACTAAAGTGAACAATTAGATACCAGAAACATTGAAGCGACAGATTAGTGAGTATCTTTAATTAATTGTGGAAACTGTTTCTGTGGGGAAACAACGCATAATGAAGGAATATTGTAGACCTCATCTTACCACAGATAACGAATGAATTTTGTATTTTTTTTTGTTTATTTGTTTGGAATTAAGCACAAAGCTACACAATGGGCTATCTGTGCTCTGCCCACCACGGGTATCGAAACCCGGTTTCTATCGTTATAGGTCCGCTGTGCCACTGGGGAGCGTGAATGTTGTAGATATTTTATATTTTGAAAAGAATAAATGCCGTAAATCTCATTTTAGCACATGTAATGAATGGACTTTCTGGACCTAATTTTATAACAAGTAATGATGAGTGCTGCAGATCTAATTTTACCACATATAATGAATGAATGAATGTTGCAAACCTCATTAAATGAATATTGTAGACCTCACTGAATGAATGCTGTATACTGCATTTTATTGATACAATACAGAATGTTGCACATTCATAATAATATTTCATCAGTGTATAGTGGTTAAAGATAAAACGTGAATGCTGTGTGACAATTTTCAGTCATGCTTAATTGATACCCCTTTAGTGGCTCAGCAGTAAGTCTACTGATTTACGATGCTAAAAATCTGATTTCGATACTCGTGATGGGCAGAGCACAGACAGCCTCTTGTATAGCTTTGTGCTTAAAAACAACCAAATCAGATGCTTAATTGATATGTTGTTTACTACAAATGATAATTTTTGGTGTATCTATGTTACATAAGTATACCATGCGTTTCTGTCTTGTTGAATTGATTGGTTTGGTTTGAATTTCGCGTAAAGATACACGAAAGCTACCTATCCCTAATTTAGCAGTGATAGACTTCCTGTTCTGCCCATAAAAGATTTGTTGTAATACTGCACAATGTGCAAGAATGTTGACAGCAGTGCTCTCTCAATGGTAGAACAGGTGGAGTTTGAATGGGAATGACCAGTCACGCAGTAGTGTTAGTCGCCTTGAGTAAATGCAACGTTCCTTGCAAAGTGAGGAAAGTTGGATTTAGACAGTCTCTCTGGAACATCATCTTGAAAGAGTATAGTCTGAATAGGATCTTGAAGGGTTAAGAACTAAAAGTATCCCAGCAGAGTGATTTCTAATATTTAAGCAAGCTTAGTTCACAAACTTTGTTTGCGTTTAATGCATATCAAAGATTGTGAATTTTATGCACCTTGTGTCCAGTCTCTGTAATCAATATATTGAGCAAGTCTCTTAATCTAGCAGACCTGTTTGATATAACTCTAATGTTAATTTAAACCCACCTGGAAATGCCACATATCATTTACAATTTGTTAAACTTATGAGCATTTCACATCATATTTAATATTTTCCCCTAAATTCTAACATCATTTAAGGCTAATATCATTACTTTTACAAAACTTGTAATGTTTCCTGTGACGATAAGTTATCAGTATTTTAAGGATTCCATAAAACCTATTGGTGAATCGATGTAATTGTGGTCATTTCTGATAGACTTACTTCTCCTAAGAGTGAGAAGATAGTTCCTCTGAATAACAGAAGATTCACCAAGATATAAACTGTACAATAATTATGTATTCTCTGACTAATTGAGGTTGTGAGAAATAAAAAGAATCTGAACACACGTGTACAATCAGAATAGAAATCTTTATATAAAACAAACACAGTGAAAATATATGTTTTACTTACCACAACGGACAGTTGCCTTTACTGAAGAGTTGGGTTTGAAAATGCTCTCAGTTCAGATCATAAACAAGAAGAAATCCATTGATCTCTTGTTCCAGACTGAATAAACCTGACATTACTTATTTAACTTTTAAATGTTACATTTACCATGAGTGACTAAAACTATCCACGTGACTGCTCATTCCCAATGAAACATGAGAGAGGTCATTACCCCAAGTGATCACTTGATTACTAGTGAAAAATATAACTGGCTATCTTCACATATCAATAGTGACCTTGCAGCTATCATTCCCACAGGAAGACAAACGGTGTCACAAAAGATGAGCCCCCCCCCACCCCCAGTGGCATAGCGGCATGTCTGCGGACTTACAACGCTCGTGGTGAGCAGAGCACATATAGCCAATTGTGTAGCTTTGTGCATAAAAAAAATTCACTATAGGTGAATGACACAGAACAATAGGTAGCTTGAGAAAAAGAAACTTAACGACCTTCTTGACCAAAGTGTTATTTGGAAACTTCACATACTTGTACAAATAACAAATGTTAAAAAAATCTTATTAATACAAGGAGGTAGAAAACAGATGATATGCATGGAAATACCACATAATAAAGAACATGTCATTGGTAAGCAATTTTACTACTGTTGTAGAAAAAATTTAAGAGCTTTGAAAAGGCCTTAGAAACTTTTCTGTAGCCAAAAAAACAATTTACACTCGATTCGTTTACTTCTTTGTTAGAAAAAATTAAACTTTGAAAATGCTAAGATAATAAAATTATGTGACATACTGACTAGTTTGTCTTTGGAATTAACGTAATACAACATTAAAATGGAATTGTATAATATTTACTGAGGTCACATAAAAATGACATGGTTGTCACTTTACTTCAAATATGTATGTGATAAAAGTTTTAAAGGTGTCATTTATTATATAAGTAATAGCACTGATATCTTTTGTGCTATTGAAATGGCGTTGTTGTTTGGTGTGAACATACTATAAGTTTTAACTACAAAAGTCAGTAATGGTTTTGGTTATTTGAAATATTTAATCATTTTCCAGTTTTACCAGATTGGTGCTCTATTAGAGAATTTCAAGTTTATTAAGATAATAAACGGTATAAAATAACTGTTATTTTAGGTTCGCTCCTGCTATAATCATGTAATAGGGTTTGATTTCAACCATACCTGATTTGTTTTACTGGAAAGTTCCCGCTCTACACCTATCAGCAAGTCAACAATTGCTGTAAAACTTCCTCTAGCAGCAACATATAAAGCTGTTCGGCCACCCTGAAACAGTGAACTAAATGAATTTTAAGGTATCTAAGTTGGACCATTTTCGTTAATAAAGCATAAAAATACCCTTTGAACTTTACATTATGAAAGGTCCATTCTGTGTGATGGTTTGTAATAATTTACTGCTATTCTGTAAATAGTGTCCGACTATATTCTTTAAACAAGGAGCACGGCATCGTGTGACTGGTTAAAACAAAATTGTTATTACACCTTCTGCAATATATATTTCAGCTTTGTTTATTCCACAACCTGTTGTCCCCCAGTCAGTAGTTTTATGGACTTACAACGTTAAAATCCGGCGTTCAATTCCCAGCGGTGGACACAGCAGATAGCCCAATGTGGCTTTGCTCTAAAACAAACAAATCCAAATGTGTTTTAATTTCCAGCGTGTTTTAGACCAGTATAGATTATGAATGCAAAAGTTATGGGGTTACGTCACATTCATTAGCGAGAAAAAAAATCTTAAATCACCATACTTATCAGTTTGCTAACCATTTGACCCCCCCCCCCCCCAGTGGCACAGCGGTAAGTTTACAGACTTTTAACGCAAAATTTTGTTT